TAAATATGAGGATATACAAACTCAGAATTTCTGGGGTTGGGGCTCAGAAATCTACTTTCTAACAAGCACCCCAGGCAATACTGAAGCACACTCAAACTTGAAGATCACTAGCTAAATAGAATGTGTAATATTTTATATTGTGAGAAATTTTTGTATAAAATATAAATCAATAATGCCAAAAGTATAAATAAGTAAATAAATAAATATCTCACTAGTATTTGGGATGAGGGTAAGATATAAATTAATTGATTAAATCTAGAAGTCCCATTTCATGCACCAAGCCTTCACATGCCTCTTCAGGCGAAGGGACTTCACAGTCTTCTGACCTCAGAGCTGCTTTGATTTCATAACTTGCTTGGCCACTTATAGAATTCTAGAATATTATAGCTGGGAGTCTAGAGGAGGTAGTAGGGCACTCCAGGGAGCTGGCTGCCAAAGAGGCCATCCATAGGGTTCCTGAGTGGTTCAGTTGGTTAAGTGTCTGCCTTCGGCTCAGGTCATGGTCTCAGGGTCCTGGGATCGAGCCCCACATTGGGCTCTCTGCTCAGCGGGGAGCCTACTTCTCCCTCTGCCTGCCGCTCCCCCTGCTTGTGCTCTCTCTCTCTCTCTCTGTCAAATAAATAAAATCTTAAAAAACAACAACAACAACAAATGAAATACAAAGAGGTTATCAATAGAGCCAAGACCAAGCAAGATAGGATTAGAGGAACCAACACTGTTGTCACTCACAATATCAAACTCTACCATTTACTGAACACCTTAAAAAAAAACAACAAACAGATTTGTACTATTTTCCTTGCAGTATCTAATTTAATTTTCACAATAACTCCTTTAGCTACTATTTTATTCCCCCTTCACAGATTGAAGAAAGAAAGCTAAAATGTGTGAAGTAAGATGTGCCAAGGACCAAGACGAGTAACAGAACTGGCTCTCACACCCAGAGGACCTGACCCTAGAACTTCCCCTGCTAAACGCCATGGTTTCTGCTATTAATCCCAGGGAGCCATGCAAGGAAAGGCAGAGGCCTCCCATCAAGTTCCCAAACATTGTCCTGGCAAGCTTGGAGAGATAGTTGTGAAACTCCCTGACTTCCAGGATAATCAAAAAGGGCACTTTATTCATTTGTGCCAAGATTGAGGAGTGGCCCATTCTATAATATGCCATGGGAACATGTATACAAACCCAGCCTTGCGGCCTGACTCACCGTCTCAATCCCAGACTTGTGCACCTGGTGCTTACCACCTGGTTGACTTCTACTGTGGGTAGAAGTGTTGACTTGCTATTGTACATACCTCAGATTTGCCATACTAAAAAGTGGTGTTGGGTAGGGGGAAGTAAGAATGTGGCACTCTTACGCCACCTGACACTTGGCTGCCAAGCTCCTCTCCTGAGCTGTAAGGGAACCCCGAGCAGTGGAAGTTCATCTCAGGACAGTAGGCAGCCTCAGAAGTCAACAACTGCTGTGTGTTATTCCCTGCGGGTGCGTCTGGCACGATGTTGGGTGCTCTGGTCTAGCCAGGCGGTGGAGGGGGCCCAGCAGCGTTGGCCGTTTAGAGAAAACAAAAACCGTGCCAGAGACAGCGTAGCCACCGGAAGCCTGAAGTCCTTGCTTTGCATTTTGAGCACACGCATGACAGGTTGGCCCTCAAATTGAGCCGTAGTACCTGGGGTGGTTGCCTAAGAAAGTTTCAGTGGGCATTATAATTTCAGTTTTCTTTCACTGGTTTGGTTTTGTTTGTTGTTTGTGCGGGAACTTGGTGCATCAAAACCATTTCAGGTTTTGTTGGGTGGGAGTCCTAGAAAAAAGGGTTCTAATCACTGAGAAATAGATGTTCTGAGAACAGTGATTAAGACTCTCTAGCAGCGCACTGCTGATGGTTCATCCAAGGGCCAGATTTTGCAAAATCTTGTTCCCAACAAGTTTAGCAAATTGAGCGATTTTGGGCTGTATTTTACACAGTTATTTACAGCTCACTTACAGTTTCCAGTTTTGCCTTTATTTCTAACTTGCTCAGCAGGAACAACTCATTTGATATGAGCAACTTATTCAAGAAGTTTGAAGGCCCTGTAGTGTACAGTAAATACAGTTTTGCCGTCAGAGAGAATGAAAGTTCTAATTCTGGCTCTGCCACTCACTTCCTGTGAACTTGGGATAAGTGACTTAGCCTCTTGAAGCCTCCGTGGGCTAATTTTTAAGTTGAGGATGATAATGCTTGTCATATGGGTGCAAAATTAGTTCAAGAAAGCAATTACAGTGTTATTGAGCCCTTACCATGTGCCAGGCACTGTTCTAGGTTTTATGGCTACAGTGGTGAACTTGAGCTTGCCTTCAAGGAGCTTGTGTTCAAAAGGGAGAGAGCCAAGCTAACCACTGATCACAGCAAAATAAGATGCTGGCTGAGACACTGAGGAGCTTGAGGGGCCTCAGGTGCTTCAGGGGGAAAATAACTAACTCACTTTAGGTCCACGGTTCCCGGCATTGACTCTTCATTAGGAGTCAATGGACCCCCTGGAGAGTTTTTTTGTTTTTTAAAAACGACCAATACCCTGGTCACACCACAGACTACTTAAATCAGAATTGCTAGGGGTGTAACTTGGGAACCAATAATTTTTAAGTCCCCCAGGTGATTCTAATGTGGAGCCAGGTTTGAGAAGCACTGGGTCAGGCTGTGATCAGGGGGGTTATTAGAGGAAGCTGAGGTCTCGAGGCTGAAGCTGGCAGCATGATCCAGAGTTGGCCACGTGTAGAGAGGAGGGAACCGCATGGAGAACAAGAAAAGGGGTGTGTGTGTGTGTGTGTATGAAGAGCTGCAGGGGTAAAAGAATGTGATACATTCTGGGGAAATGCAAATAATTCTGTGTGGGTTGAACATGGAGCCCAAGAGGAGTAAAGGCAGGAGGGGTCAGCTGGGGCCAGAGTACAAGTGTCTCTGAAGTATCTTCTAACGAAGTGGCTGGTGTAAAGGGGTCAGTGCTGGCACGTAATAGGCCTTCAGTAAATGGTAACGATGGCTATTAGTAGCAGACGTTTAGAATCATTCACTTCTGGGGTGGCAAGGGTCGTTCTATGTTCACTCAAGGATCTTAATGGAAGATTAATTCTCAGAACATTTCAATATACCGGCCACGTGAGTGGGAAGAAGTTGCCGTGTCTGGGTTGTTGGTTTTGCTCCGCTCAAATTGTGCCTTCAGAGTCTAGTGAGTAACTCATTTCTCCCTGAATTTTTGTGTGTGTATGTGTGGTGACATATACATAACATAAAATTTATCATTTTAACCATTTTTAAGTGTACAGTTCAGTGGCAATAAGTACATTCACGCTGTTGTGTAACCATCGCCACTCTGCTTCTCTAGAGCTTTTCCATCATCTCCAAATGAAACTCAGTACCGCTAAACACTAACTCCCCATTCCCACCCCTCCTTCCCACAGCCCTGGCACTCTCTGTTCTACTTTCTTTCTCTATGAATTTGATTATTCCAGGTTCCTCCTGTAAGTGGAATCATACAATATTTGTCCAATATTTGTGTCTGGCTTATTGCACTCACACAATGTCCTCACTAGATTTTAAAAGTCTTAGCCTCCTTTTCCTAAGGCCTGGGGTCTTTGGCTTGGGCCTTAAACTCTGACATTTTATTTTATTTTATCTTTTTAAGATTTTATTTATTTATTTGACAGAGAGAGACAGCGGGAGAGGGAACACAAGCAGAGGGAGTGGGAGAGGGAGAGTGAGAAGCAGGCTTTCTGCGGACCAGGGAGCCCAGTGTGGGGCTCGATCCCAGGACTCTGGGATCATGACCTGAGCCAAAGGCAGACGCTTAACGATTGAGCCACCCAGGCGCCCCTAAACTCTGACATTTTAAAAGCTAGAAATAGCTTTGATGTTAGGGAGTTCATAACCTTTCAACACAGCATAATAGAAGATGACAAGGCCGCATGCCGCAGTGTGTGCGGAAGACCTGCCCAACCTCCGTGACGAAGGCATGTACGTCCTGGCTTATCTGCTGTGGTTTATCACACTCTGTTCCCTCAGATAACAAGCACAACATAAAGGTAGTTGTTTATCCATTTTTCATGGGTTGTTATTCTCTCTGTTCATTCAGGGACATTCAGGGGTCTCTTTTCTTCCAGCTAGATAGTAAATATAAACAGGAAATAATTTTTAAATAATCTCTGTTTATCTTTATATTAAAGCATGTTAGTTTGCAACCTTCTTGGGAGCTTCTCGGGTGTAATCCAAAGCTAGCCCCCATACACAGAGGGCAGAAAGACTGAAGAAAGAGGCAGTCTACTCCAAATTGGTAGGTGGCAGGTGTAATAAGCAAGAGAACTTAGATACGAGACCTGTCTTGGGTGGTCTCAAGATGAGTAGATCTCCATACCTGCCTGCCAAATCTTAAAAGTTTACATAAAGGCCTTAACTGGGTTCAGTCACAAATAATCACTGTCTCAAGGCTATGTCTTTGGGGCCAGCTTCTGGGAGCAGGAAAGGCAAGCAGGATGCACATTCCAAGGACAGGGGACCGGTGAGGAGTCTCTGTACTGCTGCGGTCCAGCTCATAGGTCACGTCTTCTCGGTGACCTCCCCCAACAAAGCAGGAACAACTCGAATCTTCACAGCTTCGTATTATAATGAACAGACCAATCACATGACTGACGTATATTCATAGTTCTCTCTGCGTCCAAAAATTTTTATGAATAGCTGCTCCGAAGGATGGAAAGCACTTGGCTTAATAGTCATATGAAAAGTCATCACATCTCACTCAGCAGCTTAATCTGGAAAGAACCTAAATTCTTCCCCCACTCCCTTACCTCCCTAAGGAGATATTTATTTTCTTAAATTTTTATTTATTCAAAAAAATATCTCTTGAGTTCCTAATACATGTCAGGAAGTGCATTAGGGCCCACAACAAACAAAATAGATATGGTGTCTACTCTTATACAATCTAATGGGTTTAATTGGTTATTGATTTATATAGTTGATTTCTGATTCACATAGTCACTGGTGCTAAATTCCCAGGATATTAAGTAGATCATGTATTCTTTTTTTTTTACATGTGGGTGTAGAGCCACTTAAGGGGGGGCTAACCAACTGGCTGTCAAGCTGCCCCACAAGGTGGTAAAATGCCTGTTGTCCAGGTCCGAGGTTTGATTTGCAGTTCTAGAAGTTTCCATGCCAGTGCCTCATGATACACTTCCTGAGACAAGAGAAGAGGACAGACCAATGTTAACTTTCAAGAGAATGGTGTATATCTGAATGTTGATTTATTAATTTTGATGGGGAATATCCCTTTTCAGCCACTAAAATATTCATTTTTATCATTTAATGAATCCTTCCTGTATCGGGGTGACTAAAAGGCTGAATTCACGGTCAGAGGGATGCTAAGTGAAGACAAAATTGAAGTAATGTTATGTAAATAGTCTTGAGGGATCTTTTATCCAGGCCTAGGGGATGCCTGGTATAAATCCAGGTCCTGTGGCTGAGAGCACCTCTAGAGCGAACCAGTGTGTCACACGGGTGCTGGGTTCTGAGGGACACGTTCTTTCATCATGTATGCCAGTATCATCAAGATTGACTTTGCTCATCTCTGATCTCATCCGTAATGGATTATGATGACTGGCCAAACTCTTAGCGTTCTTGGACTTTTCTTGTACCCCCGTCTAATCAAATTGTTCTCTTTGCCTCCATCTATCACTGCATTCCAAAAGGTGCTCTATTTCAAAAAAAGAAACATTATCTTTAAATAATCCATGGGTTTTTCTTCAGTTAGGCCTTTCCATTCTTTCATGTGTTTAATCCATGTCTATCTACTATGTTTGCCAGTTGACTAAATTTTAGGGAAGTCCTTTGAACTGAATGCAGACCCAAGCTTTCCAAGAATGAAAATCTGGTTATTAATCATGACCTAGACTCCAACGGCTTAGTTTGGAATAATATCCATAATACCCACTTTTCACTCCTCAATTTCTCAGGGATCTCACTGTGCTCTGTGACTGGGTCTGTTTCCCTGGTTCTGGAGTCTAGTCTCCCATCTTTCCCCATGGGTCCATTCTAGAAGCATCTTGACTCGGCCTTTTTCAGTTGTAACCATCTTGGATTTATGTGCTCTTTTTATGAGAATCTTTGAAATGTGAGAAGGTAAGCAGCTATCTGCTTTACCTGTACTAAGTCTTGGCCTTTGGTTATATGGCTAATCTTTATATTTTTTAAATAATGCCTATTTAAACTTCCTACCTTTATATTATATCCCTGATAATTTTATATTATTTTTCATAGCTGCACAGAATTGAACTTCTTTTGTTCAGGGACTTCTAACAGTGACTCCCTGCCCCTGGACCTCATCATCCATTTGCCCCCATCTGTTGGTAAATACAAGCTATAGAGCTGAACTGTTCACACTTCCCTGCCAGGAACCTAGTGTGTTGGTATTACCTCTGTCATCACTTTTGCTCTTGCTTACTTCAGGGAAATTAATGTGCTGGCTAGTGACATTTTCACTTCCCATTTTAGGACTTTTGGGTGTGATGTGTTTTTAAAAAGCCTATCTAGTATGTTAATAATGGACAAGAGATGGCGTCATACAAGCACACAGGGCCTTGAAGACCAAGGTCTCAGGGGATTCAGAAGAGCAAATTACAGAGTACATTTTATGTCTTGGAAAGGGAATAGATACTATAATGAATTTTTAAGTTAGCAATTTGTTTAGTCTCCTGAGGCCCTGGCAGCTTGCGGAGGTTATGGGGGTAAAAGCACCTGCAGAGAGGAATTTCTCAGTCAGAACCAGCATTTAAAGTAGCGGTGTGTTAATGCTTAAAAAGAAGTCCTGCATACATTTTTTATAGCTTCTAGCTTTTGCAGCTGGATCTAATGAAGGATGCTCCGAGAAGTTGAGCCAGCTTGCCATTGTCCAGCCTCCACTTTCCATTACTTATGTTCTTTCCAATAGAGCCTACGGCACATTCTTAAAGACAGCTTTGCTAAAAGTACTAGGGCCTCAATAGAGGCATGTGGCAAATGCCATGGAGTGCCGGAGTCCAGCTCCAGCCGGGGTGGGTCTCTCGTAGGAAAGGACGGCGTCGGCAAATGAGGAGACACAGACACAGGATCAGGTTGCAAGCATCTCCTCCTGACAGCCTCGGAGGAACTTTATTTATATGTTAGGATATTTTTGTTTTTCCAAATCTTAGATCATTTTCTGGATTACAGCCATAGCCGCCTTTCATTTTTCCTTTGTAATGATTAACATGACCTTTATTGATTTCTGCTTATTGGCTTTCGCTAAAACTAAAAAACAGTACGCAAAGAGAAAGGTGCTAGACAGAGCATGACCATCTTGTTATTTTGTTCTATAGAAACTAATTCTTCATGGAATGAGTTTCATTATGATTGCTTAGATAGGCGTAACTAAGATGAGTAGTCACTTTATCATGAAACCCCAGAAATATTCCCACAATTATAAAGATTGCCATAAATAAAATGAAAAAGAATAGCAGGAGCCAGCCCAGAAATATTCCCACAATTATAAAGATTGCCATAAACAAAATGAAAGAGAATAGCAGGAGCCAGCTGTGGAGTCTCCTGTTTTCAGGATCGTCCCCCATACTTGGACTTTGTCAAACAGCATGAGTAGCTTGGCTCGCGCCAATGGAGTCTCTACTTTTTTTCTTTTTTCTTTTTTTTTTACCCTGCTATTCTTATTTAGGAATACTCAGCGATTTAACTTAAAATTAAATACATCTTCAAGGATTCTAATTTCATAGGGCTGTTCTTCAAGTAAGGAACCCTTACGTGATTAGTGTTTGATTAAATGTCCAGAGGACAGTTTCCATCGCAATGTCAAGTGGAGATGTGTCATAAAAAAGTAGATCAGAGCTCAAAGGTAAATTGAAGATTCCATGAGTTTTTATGATCTGGGCACAGAGTAATTTGAGTTTAAAAAGAGAAACCAAGTTTTTTGGCAGTCTTCAGCAATAGGCTAAAGAAGTTATGACCTAAATTCAAATGTAGTCCTGTAGGCCATAGTTTTCTACGGCACCAGGAGCATGGAAATAAGAAATTTATATACTGGAGCTCCCGCAGGACTTCAGTGCAAATGCAGCCCTATTAACATTGTTGCCCAAATCATGGGAAATCTTGGCCTCCATTTTATTCCCTCCCTGAAACGTTTCTCCTTAATTCAGGCATCCCCAAAGTGGTATCTGCTTGTGTTCAGAAATTTATGCACTCACGTTTTTCTCTTGCTTCCTCACCAAGCTCCTTCTGCTGCCCTGGGAATGTTGCTGGGCACAGGGCTGATTCTACACGTGGTCTCTCAGTCTGTTGTGGGATGCGGAGGGCTTCCTCTCCATGCCCTTCGGGTTCATGGTTAGACCTTCTCTTCATCACAGTTTGAAACCAGAGCCATAGACTATGAAGGGAGCAGACTCTATCCCATTCCATTCATCTCCTTGTCTTCCTCTTCTGGGCGCCCCTCCTAACCTGGAAAAGAAGGGCTTTTTCTTCTGTCAGAGAATGATCTTTTTGATGACTGACTTGGTGCTGATGATTTTCACAAAGATCTCTAGGTCACCAGTTCTGGAAACTAGATTACCGACAATCTAGTTTGGATACACCCTGCTGCAAATGCAGTTTTACTTAAAAAACAGGAAATGTAAGAGCTACGGAAGAACACCAGTCGGTGCAATAGTGAATGTTCAGACAAGCTTCACTGACAAACAGGAACATGTTCTGAGGAACACGAGTACCTTTTGATTGACCTTTGAGATTTTCTGCTGGCCATGATAGATAGACCCTTATTTATTTATTCCCTGTTCCTCTGTGCTACAGCTGAAAATGTAAAAAAGATGAAGATGGAAGAAACTTAAAAACAAAACATTCAGTATTTCTACTCTAAAGAAGTAATCCCTAAAAAAAATTATCTATCAGAAGTAACTCTTTTTCCTGTGTGCATTCTTTCTGTCTCTCTCTGAACACACACATGCAGTCATTCTGTATGTTGTGTAATAGATCTTCCTTTTTGTCACTTTACTGGCATATATAGATATACCTCATTTTTTATAGCTATATTGTATGATACATTATGTAGTGGTATTATAATCTCATCGACTAGCCACTCATTTGTGGACACTTGAATTATGAAATATTATATTTAGAAACAAAACAATATGTCATAAGATTAGCTGTCATAAATAACACCTGAATGCCCACCAATGTCACAGTGCATTTTTTGGCAGAATCAAGTCTGAATACTTTCTGTTCTGATGATACTCATCAATGTTCACAGCAGGAAAGAACCCTGAAGAAGGATCTTGTTTATGCTTATCCCATCTAAGTAAATCATTTATGTGTTTTAAGTCTGGATTCACTGTCATTAGTGTTAAGTGTAGTCAAGAGCATAAGTTCATTTCAAAGCTTGCTTGGGATTTTGCAAGTTTACAATTCATAGCAAGAGAGAGGCTGATTCAATACTTTCCAATAACTACTATTTTAGGGGCACCTGCGTGACTCAGTCGTTAAGTGTCTGTCTTCGGCTCAGGTCATGATCCCAGGGTCCTGGGATCGAGCCCCGCATCAGGCTCCCTGCTCCGCGGGAAGCCTGCTTCTCCCTCTCCCACTCCCCCTGCTTGTGTTCCCTCTCTTGCTATCTCTCTCTGTCAAATAAATAAATAAAAAATAAAAAAATAATTTTTTTTAAAAAACTACTATTTTAAATCACTGTCCTATTTAAGCAGTAAATGATTATTCTTTGTTACACAATAGAAGCAGAACTATGATGAATTAATTTTCTAATTGTTTTTTCCCACTCTGTTGTGCCTGTTCTGCTAGCCCCTCCCTAACTCTGGACAAATGAAAAAGGTCTCACACTCTGGCTTCCAACATGGGCCACCACCACCGTGGTCAGCAGGAGAGGCATGTGGCCCTGTAACTGTATGCTGTTTGGTCTGATGTGGTCTCCAGGCCTCCCTGTGGGCTTATCAGGACTAATCCCGTCATGCCTCACATACCCTCAGAAGGCCACATCCCCCAGGCTTCCACATTGCCTGTACCCTCTGCTACTGTTCTCTACCTCCACTCATCTGACCCCATTTCCTGCTCTTCCCCAACCTCCCACACTCTTTCTGAGGCCATTTGGAATGTAGGGCTATCACAGCAAACCCTCCAGATCCCCAGCTGCTTCGAATGTCCTTATCACTTGCTTGACTGGACTGAACCCTGGGTGCTTGCTATGGACATCACCTCCCCTGCAGTAGTCTCCAGTGGAAGCAGCTTACTATCGCTGTTCTATCATCATCATCATCCTTATTCATAGTGCAAGTATTACAGGCCCTGGAGATTGGGGTGAGTGTCCTTCTAGCACCCCGCTCATTTCTCTTCCTTCTTCCTTCAAACACCCAGCTCCTTTGGATTTTATGCCTTCAGACTTTACCACCCCTCTCTGTTGCTGTATCTATGGTCTGTAGACCCTCCTCAATCATGGCTGGCCAGCCTGCCTTGCTGTCTTCCTGTCACAAGTCCCTGGCATCTTTTCTGGAGGTTTGGCCTCTAGCACCTTGGCTTCTTTGATCCTGGATTATTCTTTCTACCTCAGCCACCACTCCTGCTGTCTTAACTTTGACATTCCTGGTGCCTGTAACTGGACTATGTCCACATCTTGACTTCCAAGTTTCTGTCTCTTGACCAGCATCTCCTATGGTTCCAGCCTGCCTGTGCTAGTCCCCATCCAGCAGTCCTTCAGATGCATTTGACCCTTTAATTCATTGAATTTTCTCTCATACTTTTTTATTTTACTACTATTCTTCCTGATTTTATTGTTGGTTCCCTCCATTTCCAGCTTAGGTCCTTCATTCTCACTATAATCACACCCCTGCAAATATCCTCTCCCTCTCCTGTCTCCCTCCCTCAAGCCTGAACCCGAACAGCTAAATCATATGGAGAAAAAGCACTCAAGCGTGTTAGCCAGCCTCTCTTTAAATTCTTGGCTACTGCGCTGTAATGTACTTTATTTCCTCAGTATATTAGCTCCTCCCTCCCTAATGTGACTATTTCACTTCCTTTCCTTTCTCCTAGATTCTTCTCCTCACTTACTACATTCATTTGATAATCTTGCCTTGTGTACAGCTTAATAAAGATACAAAAGAAGGCAGGAACCCCCTCCTCATCATCGCCAGGCCAGCAGACAGCTTCTCTCTATCTGTAACCAGAGTGTCCCTTTCACTCCTGTCTCTGCGGGTGAAGCATCCCTGAGCATATTGAACACCAACCTCTCCTCTGGTACTGGGCTCCCCATCCCCTTGCACTTCTTGGGGGCCAGGGCTCCCGCAGTAGTTTGCCTTCTTGGCTAAGTACATGGGCCCTGAGTCAGACTGCCTGAGTGTGAATCTTGGCTCTGCCACCTCCCAGGTGTACCTCAGTTGCCCCGTCTGTAACATGCGGTGTTAATGTTATTGACTTCACAGTGTCATGCAGGTTAAAAGGGAGAATTCGGTGACCCACTTAGGACAAGGCAAGGCTCCCAGCGAGGGCTCTGTCTTGCGCCCGCTGCCCCTGGCCAGCCCCTCCCTCTCCTGGATCCTTCCCTTCAGCAAGCAGACATGTTCTAGTAATTTCGGGTCTTCAACAGACAGATAAACAGAACCTTCTCTTCTCTTCACATTTCCCCAGCCTCAACCACTACCTCGCTGTTTCTCTGCTCCTGCAAACTACAAAGTTTCTCAATTCCATCCACTTCTCTTTTCCTTCAGTTGTCTTACTTTAGTCCAAGCCTCTCTTACCTGGATGGCTGCAATGGTTTTATGAGCCATTCATTGTAAATCAGATAATGCCACTGCACTCCTTAGAAGCCTGTCCCAGGAGTAAAATGGATGCTTTTTCTGGCAAACAAAGCCCTACACCATCAATATGGGTTAGATATTGCCAGGGCGATACTGAGGAACGAACCATCCTAAAAAATCTGGCTTAAAACAACTCTTTTTCTCATGGATCTGCTAGCCAGCCAGGGCCGTTCTGCTGATCCAGCTGGTTGGCTCACGCGTGTGCAGGTTGGCTGGGGGCTGGCTGATCTGGGCTGCATGGACGGGGCAGCTCTGCTTCATGCTGCAAGCTTGCTTGGGGCCATTCTGCTCCACAGGCCTCTTCTTCTCCAATCACCAACAGGCAATGGAGGCACAAGAGGGCAGACCTGAGCACTTAGCGCAACTGACATCCTATCAACCAAAGACAATTTCAGGGCAAGTTCCAAGGGTAGGGAGATCTACTTCCTCTTTGAGAGGAATTGCAGTGATATGTCAAAGGAAAGGACATGGACTTGGTGTGTGTGTGTGTGTGTGTGTGTGTGTGTGTGAGAGAGAGAGAGAGAGAGAGAGAGAGAGGGAGAGGGAGGGAGGGAGACATTGGGGCTAATAACTCATTTTACCACACCATTCTCTGACATCTCATACCAGTGACCTCCTCACCCACAGTGCTCCAGCTCTATGGGGCCTTTTCTGTTCCTCGAACACAACAAATTCATTCCCATTCTAGAGCTATTTGCACTGTGTTACACTGTGCTATAAATTTACTGGTTGCTTTGGCATTAAAGTTTGATTTCCAGGGGATTCCAGCGAAATGACAGCTATTCCTTTTCTTCATTTTTTTAAGCCCTTAATTTTATTTTTGATGATCTATATCCTTAGAGCATTTATTGACAAGGATAGATCTGAAAGCCTTTCAGATTCACTATTAAGTCAATAAAACACTTTTCTTTTCCTCTAATACCGTGAAACCTGCCAAAAGACGAAAAACAAATTAATTTGCTCTCCCTTTGCTCAACAGGAGTAGTGGGCCGTAGGTAGAACCCTGAGGAAAAAGCAAATTTAGTGGACCTTTAGAATTTGGAAGTTGAGAGGACTTGGATTTTGTGAGTCCCTGAATTTCATAGATACAATTTTCTCAGTATTTGTAAGCTAATTTTGATTTTCTTTATTCACATTACCACATCTTTAGCGGTCATTTTGTTGCTAGTGGGCCTACCAGGCACTTGTGGGGTGTTGTGTGACCCTGAGGAAGGGAGTCCGCAGGGATAGAAGGATTCGGGCTGGGGCTGGCCCCAGAAGTGCTTCGGTGCAGTTTCATGGATGGAAAGGCCTCATGGAGGCGGAACTCAAGGTGTTGTAATTTGTGTTTCTGACAGAAGAAGGAAAAGAGAGGGGTTTGGGACCTGGGGGACAAGGCATGCTGCCTTCTTATTCTGCTGACTTAGGGAAAGCAGCCACCTTCCTGGTGAAGGAAAGGGGATGGTTTACAGCAGCACTGGGTGGATCCGGGCCCAATAGCAGAGGTAGGTAGGTAGGTAGGTGTGTGTGTGTGTGTGTGTAGGTAGGTAGGTAGGTAGGTAGGTGTGTGTGTGTGTGTAGGTGTGTGTGTGTAGGTAGGTAGGTAGGTGTGTGTGTGTGTAGGTGTGTGTGTGTAGGTAGGTATGTAGGTAGGTGTGTGTGTAGGTGTGTGTGTGTAGATAGGTGTGTGTGTGTGTAGGTAGGTAGATGTGTGTAGGTAGGTAGGTAGGTGTGTGGTGTGTGTAGGTGTGTGTGTGTAGGTAGGTAGGGGTGTGTGTGTCTGTGTAGGTAG